GTCTGATGGCAATGATCCTGTTTACTGCCTTGTTAATGGGGACAAATGTTTTCCCACAGCTCTGTACCAATGGGGAGCAAAGGGAAACCACAAATTTGTGAAAATGTCATGCAGGAAACAGATCCACATGCAAGTGGATGACGTAAGACTTGTTTTTTTAAACTGAAGCCGTTAAAGTGCTTGACATTTTCCGTTAAACCTTCACAGGCACGATACCAGGCATTGCCTGTTGACACCCATGAACAGGAGCAGACATGTTTTCAACAGAGAGCAGAGCTAGTAGAGATGTTGGTAAGCTTTAAACAACACCTGAAAAGTCGTTAGACTTGTGGCCATACTGTACACAAAGCTTTTTTTTAAACAAACTCTGAGGGGAATCATGAAGAACAGTGGGACAAATCTGGCTTCAATATTTGGATAATCCCTACTACACACCCATTTAAAAATGGCAGTTTTTTTTTACTTTGTTGTCCAAACAACAAAGTATTTCTTTACGTAAAGAAATACTTTTTGAAATATGTTTAATCTTTTTCACATATGATTTAAATCCAGGTTGCAGTAGAACATGTTTTAGAGGATAGAATATAAAACCAGAAAGCTGCCATTAACTTGACGCAAAAGGGTGCAAATCTGTGAACTAATAATTCGTTGAAGCAGCTTTTGATTCAGTTTTGACGGTCTTGAGTTCACATTTGTTATTAATTATAAAGTTCATCTGTCCTTGCAAGACTTTAATATTTGCATCCTATTTGCATAAAGGTTACATGAGGTCACAATAATCTCACTATACAAAGGCAGCAACCAGGAAGATTGTTAAAAAAAAAAAAAAAAAAAAAAATCTCAGCACAATATGCATACACCACAACATAATATAATGAAGGGAGCCACTGCTGACAATTAGAGAAAGCATAGGGAGGGGGCGCTGGAAAAACTGGGTGTTTCCTCAAAACCACCAAAGAGATGAGACTCCAATTGGTCAGGGGTCTCATCTACAGAGACACCGGGCAAAACTGAAGGAGCAGCTGAAGCTAACAAGCATCGACCATGTTCTACATTTTAGAACCATCTGTAATGTCCTGGACAAAATTGTGAGTTATTTTGTCCCAAAGGAAATATGCTAAAGCTCTAAATTATATGTTAAGTGTGTAGCAACCAGATGTTTGTATAGGTTTTCCTTTAATACTTTTATCTTGTATGTAGAATTTTGGGATCTGCTGTACATAAAAACAAGAAAAGAGGATTTATGATTTTTTTTTTTTTAATATTGTGGCCTCTGTGACAAAAGTTTTCTGGAAAAAATAAAGTTTTTAGACCATGGAATAAAGCAAAGACAAGTGAGTGGCAACATACTTCTCCAAATCTGAACAGAGATTATAATTTAAGCAACTGATTCAAACATTCTTTCAGTGAAAATCTCGTAAAAGCAGCGATATGCAAATCAGATGTTGGCACATTATTTTCAGAACCTGAAATTGAAAATATTTTCCTTTAAGCCTCGTTATATCTCCAAACTTCCAACAGGCACCTTTGAAAAACTAAACAAAACAATAGCTTCACTTCCAGCAAAAATGTTAAACCAGTGTGAGAATGCAAGGCACAATGCAAATAAAAATAAAAAATAAACACAAGGTACATGGACGCAATCACATTTTACACAGTAAAAACAGAGCAAGCCCTTTTTTTTTAACTTCAACTTCTTTCTTGTGTAAATCCAGTTTGTCAAAACTATTTATGGGACGAATTTATGATCCATCCCATCTGGGGGGCAAGTAACGTGTAGCTACTTGCCCCCCAGATTGCAAAAAGAACCCAATTTTAGCTGGCACTCAGCATCTTTAACACCTGTGTGAAACAGCGCCTCAAGCATCAACACTCAACAGTTGTGAAAGCCTTGAGACAGCATGGACGTGAATCCAGCTCTGAGCTCGGAGCTGCACTTCGCTTGACCTCAAGAGGAATACGATCACATAAAGGCTTGGCAACAGAAAGACCTGGAGGATGTTCGCTTCATGTTCCCATTTCTTCCGATTGTTGGCCCATGAACACAAGAGAAGCTGGTGCTGATGCTTTAAAACAAACTGGGTGAGATTATTATTTAATAACAAAAGTTAGTTCCCACAGTTATTTTTAATGACTTCAAAACCACATGTCAGAAATACACATAGATCACCTGCTGATTTTTGTAAGATTAAACACCGCTGCTTTAAAAGTTGTAACACGAGATAATCTACTACAAGCACTCTCAGCGGTCACCTACTGCGTGGTGATGTTAAGAGTCGAGTAACAATAAAGAAAACATTTTTTTTTTTGGTAAATTTTCTACATCTGCTCCTCGAAGGCGAACACACACACATATACCTTACGGCTCTACAAAGCTACAGATTTCACACTTCACGTGTCGTTCCAATTTAGATCCGTAAAACAATAATAGTCCTATTATTGCAAAAATGTAAACATCCCTCTGTGCATCAATGCTTCAGCCATCAATGTTGTCTTCAAGATGTCTTTGTTTTATCCAGTACAAAAACTAAATAAAATACAAGCTCTCAACTTCTGATGTGGTTATTTGAAGCTTCTGCTGCGGTGTGCAGTGTGCATTTTAGGTACATCTTCAGGTCTCAGGAAAACATCTTCACACATTACAGCAAACAGCCTCAGATGTCAGATCATAGACAAAAATCCCATCAGACCTATGACTGAAAGGCATCAGAATAAAAAGTCTCAACAAAAACGTCTTCAGACGAAAAGGTCTTGGAAATAAAGTCTGCGCCAGGATAAAATCTGTCCTAAAACGTACACCGTAGCGGTGGGGAAAAATGTTAAAGAAGGGGTATTATGTCCTTTACTAACACCCTGCGCCATTTTACACAACCATCGGGTAACCATCTTTCTTTCAGCTGTTATGAAAATGCTGCATATATCAACATGACTTAAAATAAATTTGACGAAGCAATTTGAAGCCTCGAAGGTGGGCCTACGTCTCCTAAGCTACAGCTCTTTCTGACACGCTGCCTTCAAGACATCGTCACAACAATGCTCCTCCATTATGTTGTTTACACTTGTTCTTACAAGTGCTGGGACTGAGAGGAAGTTCCTATGACGGCCTCAGCAAACGCCCAGGTCCACCAAGTATTATTTTGTTGAGAGAATAACAGAAAACTATATAAAGTTTCAAGAGGATTTTTCATAATACCCCCTCTTTAATTGATAGACACACAGATAAAATCTGAATTTTACGTACCATGTGGAGAAAGACACAATCACTGAAATACAGATATATTTTTTCCATGACTAAAGTATTTCAAAGCTTTTTGGGGGGGGGAAATAAAACATATGTTTTACTAACATGGTGATCTGCAGTGTTTTCCTTTGTCTAGCACAGTGTTTCTCAACCCTGGTCCTCACCGCCCCCCTGTCCTGCATGTTTTAGGTATTTCCCTTCTGCCACACACCTGAATTGTATCCATGGGTGATTAACAGGCTTCTGTAGTACTTGATGGTCATGCAATCATTTGGATCAGCTGCTCTGGAATAGAGGCACATCTAAAACATGCAGAGCAGGGGGGCGGTGAGGACCAGGGTTGAGAAACACTGGTCTAATGCCTATAGCAGTCTATGAGGCCAAAAACAACTCCCTGTCAGAAGTTGAGAGTCTGCACCTGTTTCAAATTAACACTCTGGCTGAAGGACAAAAAGATCACCTTGAGTTAAACGCCACAGTGAATCTGCCTTCCAATGATTCCACAAGCGTAAATCTAAAAACATCTCTCTTTCCATCAGCTTTACACGCAAAGCTAATATGAGCAATCAGAATAAAGATGGATGCCTGTGATTCCCTTGCGTTTTCTTTCAGTCAGTTCAGGATAAATCTGTCTGCATGGAACGAAGTTTTGACCACACTGACCCCCTCTGAAATGAGCCGTGACATTCCTGCCGCCCACAAATAAAACCAGAAGACGACAACGACACTACTCCTATTGACAACATGGTAAAAAGTCTGACATCACATTATTTTTCTCATTTTGACATGTACCTGTAGCTTATATGGGCTACTGTTAGTATGTACAAGTAGCAGCAAAAATCCACCAGAACAGTGATTATCAGACTAAAAGATTATCCTTCTCGTGTTTCCCTTTAGCATGGCTATTGATGTGGATGAGGTGGAATGTGTGGTTTTTATTATTTTAATTTGAAAAACTTTCAAAAAACTGGATTGTTGTATTTATTTGTACCCCTCTTGACCCATTTTCACTTTGTGCCTCATCTCTCCCCCCAATTTCCCCATAAAAAAACAATCCCTATGGCACATTTTACTTTTTAATTCTTCCTACTGGTAGCAATTACAATTTGGCACTTAAAATATAAATACAGTCATTCTTTTTCTTTTTCTTTTTTTTCAAAAATATACTTAAGCATATTAATAACAGTAATACACCAGAGTCCAGTGATAATTTGAGGTGAAACTTTGGTCTCCAGATTACCTACTGGACTACAAAACGCTGGTCACTGTATGGAGGAAAAATAAATTACACTTTTTTTAAATGATTAAATAAATATGTTATAAATAAATAAATATTTGAGACGGTTTATAAATAACTTTAAAAAAAGCAACTTTATGACTTTGCAACATGCTTAAACTCCCTTTAAAACAGCCCTGATAACTGACAAATCATAGATTTAGCTCAGTTCCCATGAGGTTACAGCTTAATGCCACTGTTTGAGGTCGTCAACGTCTCTAACCGAGAACACTTTATTAAACTATTGAAGCTGATGTCGAACAGTGTCCCTTTGGCCCCCATTTTTGTGGCAAAAAGGACCCAACCTGTGGCTGCAGTGGTGACAAAGTGGCCTAAAGTCAAAAGTGCAACGTGACTGGCATGGACCCACCCTCCCTTGCGTCAGGAATGATATGCAGGAGATGTGACTGAGGATGATATGCTACGGTTTTGATTTCTGCATGCCAACAGCAGAGAGCCAAACTTGATTTACTCCACGTGTGCTACGTTTACCATCATTAAGTACCGCTCTCCAAATCTCCCAATCTTTTCTTTTTATCCCGTTTCCCCTCTCCCCCATTTCAAACTCTGCTCTGTTAAGACGGCTTCTACAATATGATTCGATACAATTCCATAGGATTGTGTGCAAAATGCTTTTTAGGCATACAGTAATAAACATACGAGCCACAACATTAGACTTAAGTGCTTGTGATGAGGTATGAACACCGGTCAGAAAGGAAACCGTTGACCTGCCTTCATGCCATCAATGGTTCCTCTCTGATGACTGTTGCATCTCTGATGTTTAGAATATTACATGTTAAAAAAAAACATGAATGAAATGCAAGTAAAATCTAACTTGATAAATACCGTATGGCAATGACTTCTTCCACCAAAAATGAAGACCTCTGTTGGACAACAGCGAAGCATAAAGCATCATATTTAGAAGAATACAGCGTCTTGCAAAACACTTTGTCATACCTGAACCAATCAATGCATGTCATTGGGATTTTATGAGACAGACCAGCACAATGGTAGTAAAGTTCAGTGCAACTAACTGACTTCCAAAGTCATCTAATCAATCAATACTTTTCACCTGTGACTCATTTTGTCTCTGTATAAACATGATTTTACTCCTGTGGATGTAGAGGCGCTGCAGTGATCCTCAGCTGAGGTGGGAAGATCTGCCCACATGATGAGGAGTCATGCCCACCACAAATTTGTGATTTCTGGAAGCTTTGCAAGAATTAAGCCACAAGAAGTTCTAAACACAACGCATGTGAGGGACACAGCAAATATTTGGAATAGGCTGATCTGGACAAATTAGATCAAAATTGAAATTTCTGGTCTATATAAAAAAATTATATCAACCTGAAAACATCATCCTCACTGTGAAACAGAGTGGTGGCACCATCATGCTGTGGAGACGGTTTTCCTTAGTAGGACCAGCAAAGCTGGTCAGAGTTGATAAGAAGATGGATGGAGCTAGTTCCAGTTCAAACCTGGAAGAAAGCCTGTTAGAGGCTGTAAATCTTTTAAACCTGTCAAAAAATACTGATTTTTACTCCCTTCACAGTTGGGTATTACTTTGTGTTGGTGTATCACATAAAATCCCTCCAAAAAGGCATTTAAGTTTGTGTTCAAACAAGATTTCAAATTGTGAAAAACTTTAAGAGACACGAGTACTTCTGCAAGGCACTGCCTTCGTACATTTATATGAAACTTGATGCTCTTAAGAAAGTTTTAACCTGATGTTTGACAAATAAAGATAACTTCAAATTCTCCTCAGACTTTTCTCATTTCCATTCACAATTCACTTTCACTGAGTCTCTAATTAGGTACCTGTACCGTTTTAGACAGCCCACGCTTGAATGGATGGATGACAGTGAAGGGTCCAGTGTGCTAACATGAGGATGAGGCCTTCATCTGTCTCCAGTCTGAACTTCATTTACAGAGGCAGGTCTGTGCTGTTGTGGCGAGTCTTTCTGGAAGTCCCATCATCCCTGGGCAGCGCTTTCTGCAGGTTGGACATGGCAGCGGTCTTCTTCAGGTCAATTACGGCGTAGCACTCGCTGCGTCTGGGTACCGGCGGGCCACATTGTTTGGGTGGTAGGCGCTGGTGCTGTGGCTGGCCAACCCCGCTGCCAAGGGCTTGGCGGGGAGGTTCTTCCTCCAGGTCCACCTGGATGTAATTCAGCTGCCGCGAAGGAGGCATGTGACCGTGCTCGCAACCTCCGACCCCTGAACGTGATCGCCTTCGGAAATCAAAGCTAAATATTCGCCCCGCGCTGTCTGGTCGACATGCCCGAGGATGCGGGGGGCAGGGGTGCCGGAGCCGGGGCGGCTGCACCTGCTCTGTGTTGACATAGTTCTGAAGGGCGTCTCGGTGGATACCCCGACTGTCCTGGTGGTACCCGTTGGGCGTTCCTGGGCCTTCTGAGAACTCGTACTCGTCAAAATCATCCTCCTCTTCTTCATATTCGTCCTCATCTTGATCTTCATCGTCCTCCTCCTGCTCATCGTCCCGCTGCAAAGCGCTGTACTCCCACACAGGTGGCAGTGAGGGCAGGTTTTCGTAGTTGAGAAGAGCTGTCCGGCGGTGGCCTCCGCCCATGCCCCTCTCACAGGCGTAGCCCTGAGGCGGCAGGGATGAAGGGCCGTGGCCGTGTGAGTGCAACAGTGAGTGTGAGTGGCTATCCCCAGTGCTGCTGCTGCTGCTCGAGCCCACAGACTGCGATACGCTGCTGGGGCTCAGGCGCTGCTTTCGGCCGCTCCGCAGGCCGTTGATGTTCTCGTAGGTGAGCTCGCCGCTCTGGGAGCTGTCTGGGTGCTCGTGGCTCGGATGCCGGTGCATGTGGTGATGGAAATGGTGATAGGAGTGGGAGTTGCACAAGTGCATCCCAGGCTCGTCCCCCTCCGTCTCTGAACCTGTAGCACCCTCTGCTGGCTGAAGGTTGTGAGGATTGTGCCCGAGCCTCTCCCTCTCCATGAGATGGCGCTGAGCTGGAGTGGGCCCCAACATGAACTTGACCTCCTGCGAGGACGGCTGTAGGAACACCTGGGGGTCTTTGCGCTCCTCAAGCGGACAGCATCTCATGTTGGACTGTGGGTTCCCTTGGCCTCCGACCGGCATGGCTCCACGTGTCGTTTCGGGCAAAGCGCTAGGCCGCACCTCAGGCAGAGAGTGCACACAGTGGCGCATGGAAAGATCTCCGTCCATGCTCACAGTATTCACATAGGTGTGAGTCTGTTAGGAAATACAGACAGGTTCAAGCTTGGGATTCAAAGGAAATATGCTATGAGGTGCAAACAGGACTTACCTGGTCTTCCAAAGCCATGAGGCTGTGTCCATGGTCATCAAGAGATGGTTGGGAGGAATCCCCTCTGATGGGATAACCTGGATATCCGTTTGGAAAGGACTGGACGGGAAAAGCTGGAGCTATAGACAATACAGACCAAGAGAAACCAGGAAGGTGACAATCAACTCAAAATATTTGGCTGGATTTATTATTTTCTTTACAGTACTTAAAAAGGATGGTTATTTCAACAAGCACTTAAGGCATTTGACTGCATTTGTAAAAAATAAAAATACATACATATACATATATATATATATATATATATATATATATATAATAATTGTGTTGATATTAATGAAAACATTCTAAATGTGAGAAGGGAGTTGGGGAGATACAGGGTGTTTGTGAATCTTTAAAAAGCCTTAAACTAATGGACCCAAAATTAAGGCCTTAAAATGTATTAAATTCACTTTGAAAAACTAAGTTGGTCTTTGATATATTAATCACAGGTCTTAAATGTTGTCTTGGCAGGACTACTTAATCTAAAATATATTCTAAGCATTATTTTTTGTCACTTGCCAAGCATTCTGTGATTCGAAGTGGTTGAGGCTACCAGTATATCACTACTAGCATACTCTTAGCTAGCTAGCCGTTTTGCATCCATCATAGGTAAGTACAAATTTTTCGCCACTTGGCTGGACAAAGTTAATACATTTCTGTGGAGTTATAGGTAATGGTAAAGGTCCCTAAAAGGCCTTAAAATGTTTTAAATTTAAGTTAGTGAAACCTACAGAAATTCTGAACTACTGAAGAAGATTTCACCACAAAGATTAATTCTGAGAAGGTGAAAAGAAACTGTGAAAATTACAGTAAATTGACTTAAAGAACTTAGACTTTAATTTCTAATCCTTAAGGAAAACTATAAATTAGTAATGCAGAAGATGTCTGATTTAAAGAGTGTAAAAACTTGTGGTTTCTTTCTTTCACCACTTGAGGGCAGTAGAGGAGCAGCTTCTAAATCAGGGGTTTCCAAAGTGAATCCTCAAGGGCTGGTCTCCCGCATGTTTTAGTTCTTTCCCGGGGTCAACACACTTGAATTAAATGATGGTTCATTAACAGGCATCTGAAGAACTTTATGGCATATAGAAGAGTTAGTTTAACCATTTCAATTAGCTCTGTTGGAACAGAAACGCGTCTAAAAGTGACAGGACACCTGCCCTTTCTGGACACCATGGCTTATCCAAGTATATCAATAAAAAAAAAAAGTGGAAAGAAAAAAGTTGTACCAGCAACAGGGAAAACTGCAGTCTTGAGAGGATTGTCAAGCAAAATCTATTCAAGAATTTGTGGAAGCTTCACAAGGAGTAGACTTCAGGAAGAGCGGTGAGGCACAGAATCCACATTGCTTGAAGTCCAGTGTGACGTTACTGTGATGGTTTGGGGTGACACATCATCTGCTGGTACACTGTATTTTCTGAAGTCCACAATCAATGCAGCCGTCTACCAGAGACTTCTAGAGCACTTCATGCTTCCCTCTGTTGACATGCTGTATGAAGATGCTGATTTCATTTTCCAGCAGGTTGTGGCGCTTGCCCACACTGCCAAAGGCAACAAAAGCCGACTCAATGTTCTTGATTGGCCAGTAAATGCCCCTGACCTTGAACCCCACAGAGAATCACCAGACCCAACAAGGCAGATGACAAAGTAATCTGGGCTTCCATTGCAGCTCAGCAGACGATCATGCCATCTCCGTGAGCTGGGCTGCATTGACACAATGATTCAAGGAAGAGGAGGAGAACTGAATATTGAGTGCATAAAAATGAACACATTTTTGCTTGGAATTAAGATTTGAAAAAGGGTTATTGTTGGTTGTCCAGATACTTTGTTGTGGAAAAAGTGTAGATTTAACAAGCTTTGTTTAGCTTAAAAGTAGGGACTTCAGTAGTTGTCTACAATAATCACTACTAAGCCTTCTGCATTGCATTTTAAGGTGTCAAAGACAAATCTATGCGAATAAATGTATATTTAACCTGTTTCAATCACTTAAATATAGGAAGGATAACCTTGTTTTGTTTTGGGGTTTTTTGTAAATCGTTCAACTCTTAAAATTTAAATTGATTGAAGCTTGCAGAAATCCTATCAATGCATTGCTGCATGCAAGTTTGGCAGGCATTGCATGAGCAGGTGTGACTCACTGTTGGGAGTCTGTGGTGTCCGAGACATGTCCATCTCTGGCGTGTGGCCACTTCGACTCATCATCATTGACTCCTCCACCACATTGATGCTGTTGCATTGCATCAGCTCCTGGAGCAGGTTGAAGATCTCTTCAGCCCGGGAACACTTGAATGCAAAGATTCCTGGTTTAAACACAAACAAAACATGGCAGGTAAGAGGAATTTAAGGGATAAAACAAGGTCCAGGCATAGCATGGCAAGTTTATTTATATGGCCTCAGAGGTTCACGCAAAATGAAAAGGGAGAAAATTGCATTAAAAACAACAGGCCAACAATTCTGCACATTAACCCCGTTGAGTCTAGATGACCCATAACCATTAATAGACCAACAGTACAGCAACAATTTTGCAAGAGAAACACCAAAAAACTCATTTATTGCCCTTCAAGATCATTGACATACCTAGCACTTATGCAAAATACATTAAAATGTATTAATGGCACATTGAAAAACAACCTTAGAAAATAAATTACACTGGAACATTTTTATCCATTTACAAAGAGTAATTACTCTTAACAACTCCTCAATATGGGAAAGACAAGAGAACATGAAATTCAGCAATGCTGTTGTGTGTTGATAAATCAAATAGTTAAAAAAATATATTGGTCATCTGAAAAGACCCATCTCTACAACTAGAGAGAAATACCTACATATATATATATATATATATATATATATATATATATATATATATATCTCACTGTTACATTACAGAAACATCTTGCGGTCAACAATAATACCATACTATGCATAAAAACTGAGAAAGTGCTGCCCACCCTGCCCTGTCTGACAGCGGCGGCCGCTCTCAAAGGAAAACAGGTTGGAGTCGTAGCCGTAGCGTCGCAGGCAGAGGTATGGCCACCGGATGGCGTCTCTTTTGCGTGTGTGAAGAATGAGCTCAGTCTGGGTGAGCTCCATGATCCCAGAGCCGAGCTCGTTGCCTTCATCATCAACATTGATGACCTGAAAGACGGTGAAACACAATAACATCACGAGACGTATGGAAACAACAAAAATAAAGCATGAAAAAAAAAAATAAACACAATGGTATACACTAAGCATGTTTTTTTAGATTGCATTTATGCAAGCGTGTTGCAAGGTTTTTCTTTTTTTTTTTTCTTCCTTGCCTCTTAAGAAAATTACTCCATTCTTGTTTGATGCAAAAAAAAATTATTTTATCTTTTATGTGTCATAATTAAAGATGCATCAATCCATCAGCCAATAACTGAAATCAAACAGTTTTCTCCTTGATTAATTTGATTGTTACTAAACTCAGAATAAAGTGCATGAAGTAAGTTGATGTGTTTACCGACCCAGTTTCAGTTAAGATGTATAAAAAAAACTGAAAAAAAGAAAAATATAATAAAACTTTGGCACATTTTTGATACAAAAAACAAGATTATAATCAGTGTCTTATTTCATGCTGTTAAGTATTACATCTATTGTTCTGTGGTGTCAAAGCTTTTTTTAAATACTTGTTTTAATAATTCATTTAAATGCAGAAGAAATAAATAGGCAAGCTTTTCAACATGTGTGGAAAGTCAAGAAGTTTTGACAAAAACTTTTTTCTAAAAAAAAACAAAAAAAAACAGAAGTTCTAGTTTTCTGATCTATCTTTATGGGACCAGGAATAGAAAAACATGTGATAACAGATACTGTTATCACTAAATATTTTAAGGACATTTTTACTGATTTGGAGAAGAAATCATTTGTCTATAAAAGATTTAATTTAAGAATCTAGTTCATTTGTGACAGTGTTAACTTTTTCTATTTAGCTGTGAATGTTCTGTAAACTGTGTGCTGCTGTCAGTCTTGCCCAAAATTCTTGCGTAAAAACTATTTTTAATCTCAGTGGGATTTTCCTGGTGAAATAAAAGTTAATAAAAATAAGAATTTCACAGAAATGGAGAAAAAACATATACAGGACTAGAGGTTTTAGAGGCTGACTACGTCCAACAACATGGGCAAGAACTGCAACGACAGCACAGCAAAGGATTTGCATGCTAAAAGTTTTAAAACGGAGACCTTAAATTTGGTGAGATGGTTGTCTCGGATGGGGTCTCTGTACAGACAGCTCCAGCAGCTCCCCATAGCTTCAGCAGGCCAGCTGAAACCTGTCAACAGTGAAAGTTTACAAGCAGGCCTTCTCAAATTCATCAGCTTTAAGCTGCACATGCATACAAATGGACAACAGAGACAAAATAATGTGCCCCGTCACACATTTGGCCTCAAGTTTCTTACTCAGTCCAGGCCATCGGTGTAAAGGGATTCACGTCTCAATCCCAGGATCTTCTACTGGGCAGCTGCTTCACGAGCCAGTAAGCCTCCTGCGTGGACATCTTCGAGAGAGGATGACGGCTCTGTCCCCTGAAACAAAGACAGGGACCAAGACACTGAGATTCAGGGAATAGATTTACAGTTGTGGTTATAAATTTACATGCAGTCAATCAATCAAAATGACTACAAGTCATTTTACACTTCTAACAACATATTTTAAATGTTTTTTTTCCTCTAGGTGGAACAAATAAACAGACTGCAACATTGATTTTTCTTTTTAGGATCTTTTTCTGTTGGAACAGTAAATTATGTCTAAGATTCAACAATTAATCTCTTCATTACAAGTGAATTTGAAGAATTTGGGTGTAATTTGCATTGTATCCACGCCACAGGACGCAAAATAGCCCCACACCATAACGCTATGACCACCCTGGTTGACAACAGTGTTTGTAGATTTGAAAGCCTCATCTTTACTGTCATTTTGGAAAGAAAGCCCAATATTAGTGTCCTCTAACCAAAAGCAATTTCTCTGGAGAAATTTTGTTTGTCAACGTTTTCAGCTTGTGGCTGTTAGCTTTGAACAAGTTTGCCTCCCGATCTGTGGCAACGTGAAACCATCGCCGTGGACACTGGCGTTCTAGCATCTTCCAGTTGTTTGTGCTTTTTTTTCTTGAACATCCTAACCAAATTATCTTCATCTGAGAGTGATAGTTTGTTTCAAAAGATTGAAAGTTGGAGAAAAAAAAAAGAATCCTCCAACTGGACAACAATCCCAAACAAAAATCAATTCGGGCCTTAAGAAGAGATTAAAAACACAATAAGTCTATGTAAACGTCTGGTCAGATAATCATGATACTCAGACTAAATAACACTGGAAGGAGTCCATAGTATCTGAAGAATGTTTCCCTTATTAAAAGCTAACACCATTAAGAATCTGTTTGCATGCAGACTATGCAATTACCCCACCAATAACACTTGGCAATGCTCCTAGTGTAACTCTTCCCAGGTAGGACAGCAAATATGTCTGCTATTTAGCATAATGGGCACTTAAACATTATTTAGGTATATAGCTTGGCTAAAGTAGATGTGTCCAAATCCATGTAGCACATTAAGCGACAGTCAACATTATTATAACTGAAATACTAAAGATATCCTAGCAGAATTTTAGAAATTTTGCTTTTAGTGTCATTTTTGTAATTTAACTTAACTTTGAAACAGCGAGAATTTATGCCACATGGATAAAAAGTAAAAGAATATTATCTAAAATGTTTGGGCTGCAAGGACTCCGTACCACCAAATTCCTACACAGTTTTTTTTTTTTAAAAGTACCGAGTCTCTTTTATTGTTTTCCAGCTCAACATAAGTTAAGAAAAAAAATAAACCAGTATGAGAAAATGTCAACAAAAATTCATTTTGGTTTTTGATTGTTTTGTTTTTTTGTTTGTTTCTTTTACTTACTGTCAGAAGAGTTGCCCATTAGAAAGCAATTTTACTACTTTTTGAACTTTCAGGCCAATAATAAATTCAGGTTGAACAAGATGTGAGGTTATCAGACAGAGAATTGGTAAAAGGAGATTCCTAAATTAAGGGAGCTTTTTTTTTTTTAAAACATGAATAAAAAAAAAAAACACGTTTAAATTCACATTCTGCACCTTAAATATTAAGAAGTCCTAAATTTTGTCCGAGTAAGTCCAGACGCCAAAAAAAAAAAAAAAAGTAATGATATGGTTTTATACCACACTCTGAAAATCTAGAACCAATTTCAGCCTCGTCTTTCATAATTTGTAGGAATAGTACATTAGATTATATTTCATATAACCAGTAGCAGCTGCTTATGTGATGGAAGCAAAACAGCAACCTAGAGTACCTAAAACATTTGATTGAAGTTAAAAAATACAAATCATAATAATAATAATAATAATAATAATTAAAATTTAAATAAATGTGATAAATATGAACAAAAAAATTACTTTTTTTGGCAGATCTGTAAAACATGCAAATAATAATGTTTGACCTACTAACTAAAAGGCAATTGCACCGCTTTCTTAAACTGCAGAAAACTTTACATTCAGGCCGAATCATGGTTCTTACACTGGATCTAGTTAAAATGCCGAAAAGAAAAGCACTATTATTTTTACCAATGGGATAGCAGTACCAATGTTTACAAACAGCACTTTAAAGCATTTTCCTTTAGTGTACGACATTGTATCCTTTATTTTTCTAAAATCCAAGTTATATAGATCTTGTGACGGATCTAACTGTATATAAAGACCTGATTACTACACAAGCAGTTAAAATTGTGTTAGAATAACTCAAAAACAACTCTTAAAAATGTAATTCTCAAATAAAAAATGCGTGATAGTATCCGAGCTTGACCACATAATAGCAGAAGTCCCAGCATCATTACAAACCAGAGGATCTCAGAGTACTATCTGCTTTTTCAATCATTTATTTTCCTTAATATCAGCTTCAACTCATACAGTGCATCTGCTCATATAAATTATGCACTAATGAACCAGGTTTTGATCAGTGTAAGTCAAGAATAATCTGACAAAAGCTCGAAAATCCAGAAAGAAGCAAAATACAGCAGGAAAAATCCTGCGATTTGGGTCGTACAGTGAGTTCTGAGAGTTCCCAGTCCAGCTATGCTTCTTCAGGTCAGGCAGGATAAAAAATAATAAAAAATACATCAACCAGCAGCTGAGTTTGGCAGCTGATCAAACAAACATTCACACGTATAATCTCTGTTGTCGCTTTACGTGTTAGTATTAATATTACTGTTATCATTGTAGCCTACATCAGCAGCACCGCACTATGCTCCTGCTCTAACCTGGGCCTCCACATCTGACTGGAGACACACAGCTGCATCCACTCACTGCGAGCAGGCTAATCAGCTAAAGCTACACATCCAACACACAGGCACAGCCAGGGGAATCTGCTGAAAAGAATACAACAATGATGGAGAGAAAAAAAATCACAACCTTTCTGATCCAATTAACCAGCCCGAATCGGAACCATCTTTTTCCATGTAATAATTTAAAGAACGCCCCCCTTCCCCCTCCTCTGAATGAGCAGATTCAAGCCCAGCAGAATGAGCCACCACACGGCTCACTGACCGCCGCTGCTGCTGCTGCTGCTGAGGCTACAATAGCAATAACACACACCAGGCAACGGGAAAGTGGAGAACGACAGCGATGGGTTGCTACTCACATGTCTGCCACGGTTTTTTTTTTTTTTTTTTAATTATTATTATATCAGGTTTAATGCGAAACGAGCACCGAGACTGCGGTGCGTTATCGGCGGCGGCTGCTGCTGCTGCTGTTGGTGGTTGGTAGCGGGATGTGGCACTCTTGCACGGCAGAGTCTCTGCTGAATGATGCGCTGAGATGGAGAAAATGTTATTTTTTCCTTCCTATTACGCCCCCCCTACTGCAGCACGGGCCTCCCTGCCTGTGTGACATTTCCCAAGCAGCTGGGGTGAGAGTTCACAGCCAGACAACGACGCTGAGAGGAGCGGAAAGAAGGTAAGAAACGCCGGAGGACCACGGAGGAAAAGGTGTGTCTTGGAGGAGGGGCTCATAGTTCACCGAGTGGACTGGGAACTCTGGAGCATCCCGGACTTTTTTTTTTTTATGCATGCACACTAGCAAGTTGTTGTTTGTGAATAAGATGGAGGTTGTTGTTGTTGTTTTTTTTTCTCGAAGAAATTGGGATGTAGAGTAAAAATAGGAAATAGAAATATTCTTTATTGTCCCTCAGTGGGGAAGTTTCTGTGCAACAACAGCAAACTGATTCATATAAAAACAGAACGTCAAACGTATAAAAACAGAATTAAGTGTCTTATAATGACACCATTCCAACATTCTTACTGCATAATTATAGAAAATAAACAACATACTCCCATTCAAAAGATTGAGTAACTGAGTAGGTTCATTTAAAAATTTCCAAAATCTCCATGTGTATTTGTGCATTAAAAATACGAATTATTTACAATAGTGCGCATTGCAAATAGAACAGACAATAGAAAACAAATCAAAAAGCAAAAGAATGAGCTGGAATCAATGCATGAAGTTTTGTAGGATAAAAAACAAAAACTTCAGTCTTCTCATTCACCTTTACACATTGTCTTACTTTACAAGCAGAAAAACTGCATAACTTTCCAGTAGAAATGTTTTTTTTTTTTTTATGTCATGCATTTTTTTTCCACACACCTCTCCTTTGTCTGGACTGGGAGAAGAATGCCCACCCACACTTGACTTATGCAGCAAGACGATGATACAAAGCACATATCAAGTCCATCTCTGAATGAACTTAAGAAAAAGGTTGTGCTGTAGCCTAGTCAAAGTGCAGCTTAGATCTGGTTGAAGAAGGACGCTCATGTTCAAAATGCCTCAAATGGAGGCTGAATTGAAACAATCCTGCTAAGAAAAGTGACTTAAAATTATTAAGCAGAGATGTGAAAGACTCCTTGCCGGTTATTCGAAACATTTGCTTTTTTACTGTATTAGATAAAAATACAGTATCTGTATTTTTATACAGATACTGTATTTTTGTATTGTGAGCTAGCTAGCTCACACTAGCTGGTGTGAGCTAGTTTGCTAGCTCACACCAGCTAGCAAACTACTTTTTGTATTTCCTCAAGTTATCTTTGCCTGATGTAAAAATGTGTCCAATGTTTTGAGACAATGAAGTTAAGTTAACATAAGAAACCTGTAAATGGGAGGTTATTTCTTCACAGCTCTGTATTTATTTGCACTTACAGGGTCGTACAGTGATTTCTGAGAGTTCCCAGTTTTTGTATCTCATTACATGAGCCACATATATCTAATCTAAGAGACTTTGCAGTTTCTTAGATTATATTTGAAAGTATTAATTGCAAAAAACTCTACTGTTTTGCTAATCGTGCTCTGCCTAGTCACTCGGAATAAAAAGGGACTGATTTTGTACGTGTAGCTGGAAAATGGATGTATGATTCTGTGTCCTTTCTCCATCCCTTTTATCTACTTACATTCACACTGCTGCACGCTTNTGAATGAAAAAAAAAAAACACGTTTAAATTCACATTCTGCACCTTAAATATTAAGAAGTCCTAAATTTTGTCCGAGTAAGTCCAGACGCCAAAAAAAAAAAAAAAAGAAATGATATGGTTTTATACCACACTCTGAAAATCTAGAACCAATTTCAGCCTCGTCTTTCATAATTTGTAGGAATAGTACATTAGATTATATTTCATATAACCAGTAGCAGCTGCTTATGTGATGGAAGCAAAACAGCAACCTAGAGTACCTAAAACATTTGATTGAAGTTAAAAAATACAAATCATAATAATAATAATAATAATAATAATTAAAATTTAAATAAATGTGATAAATATGAACAAAAAAATTACTTTTTTTGGCAGATCTGTAAAACATGCAAATAATAATGTTTGACCTACTAACTAAAAGGCAATTGCACCGCTTTCTTAAACTGCAGAAAACTTTACATTCAGGCCGAATCATGGTTCTTACACTGGATCTAGTTAAAATGCCGAAAAGAAAAGCACTATTATTTTTACCAATGGGATAGCAGTACCAATGTTTACAAACAGCACTTTAAAGCATTTTCCTTTAGTGTACGACATTGTATCCTTTATTTTTCTAAAATCCAAGTTATATAGATCTTGTGACGGATCTAACTGTATATAAAGACCTGATTACTACACAAGCAGTTAAAATTGTGTTAGAATAACTCAAAAACAACTCTTAAAAATGTAATTCTCAAATAAAAAATGCGTGATAGTATCCGAGCTTGACCACATAATAGCAGAAGTCCCAGCATCATTACAAACCAGAGGATCTCAGAGTACTATCTGCTTTTTCAATCATTTATTTTCCTTAATATCAGCTTCAACTCATACAGTGCATCTGCTCATATAAATTATGCACTAATGAACCAGGTTTTGATCAGTGTAAGTCAAGAATAATCTGACAAAAGCTCGAAAATCCAGAAAGAAGCAAAATACAGCAGGAAAAATCCTGCGATTTGGGTCGTACAGTGAGTTCTGAGAGTTCCCAGTCCAGCTATGCTTCTTCAGGTCAGGCAGGATAAAAAATAATAAAAAATACATCAACCAGCAGCTGAGTTTGGCAGCTGATCAAACAAACATTCACACGTATAATCTCTGTTGTCGCTTTACGTGTTAGTATTAATATTACTGTTATCATTGTAGCCTACATCAGCAGCACCGCACTATGCTCCTGCTCTAACCTGGGCCTCCACATCTGACTGGAGACACACAGCTGCATCCACTCACTGCGAGCAGGCTAATCAGCTAAAGCTACACATCCAACACACAGGCACAGCCAGGGGAATCTGCTGAAAAGAATACAACAATGATGGAGAGAAAAAAAATCACAACCTTTCTGATCCAATTAACCAGCCCGAATCGGAACCATCTTTTTCCATGTAATAATTTAAAGAACGCCCCCCTTCCCCCTCCTCTGAATGAGCAGATTCAAGCCCAGCAGAATGAGCCACCACACGGCTCACTGACCGCCGCTGCTGCTGCTGCTGAGGCTACAATAGCAATAACACACACCAGGCAACGGGAAAGTGGAGAACGACAGCGATGGGTTGCTACTCACATGTCTGCCACGGTTTTTTTTTTTTTTTTTTAATTATTATTATATCAGGTTTAATGCGAAACGAGCACCGAGACTGCGGTGCGTTATCGGCGGCGGCTGCTGCTGCTGCTGTTGGTGGTTGGTAGCGGGATGTGGCACTCTTGCACGGCAGAGTCTCTGCTGAATGATGCGCTGAGATGGAGAAAATGTTATTTTTTCCTTCCTATTACGCCCCCCCTACTGCAGCACGGGCCTCCCTGCCTGTGTGACATTTCCCAAGCAGCTGGGGTGAGAGTTCACAGCCAGACAACGACGCTGAGAGGAGCGGAAAGAAGGTAAGAAACGCCGGAGGACCACGGAGGAAAAGGTGTGTCTTGGAGGAGGGGCTCATAGTTCACCGAGTGGACTGGGAACTCTGGAGCATCCCGGACTTTTTTTTTTTTATGCATGCACACTAGCAAGTTGTTGTTTGTGAATAAGATGGAGGTTGTTGTTGTTGTTTTTTTTTCTCGAAGAAATTGGGATGTAGAGTAAAAATAGGAAATAGAAATATTCTTTATTGTCCCTCAGTGGGGAAGTTTCTGTGCAACAACAGCAAACTGATTCATATAAAAACAGAACGTCAAACGTATAAAAACAGAATTAAGTGTCTTATAATGACACCATTCCAACATTCTTACTGCATAATTATAGAAAATAAACAAGATTGAGTAACTGAGTAGGTTCATTTAAAAATTTCCAAAATCTCCATGTGTATTTGTGCATTAAAAATACGAATTATTTACAATAGTGCGCATTGCAAATAGAACAGACAATAGAAAACAAATCAAAAAGCAAAAGAATGAGCTGGAATCAATGCATGAAGTTTTGTAGGATAAAAAACAAAAACTTCAGTCTTCTCATTCACCTTTACACATTGTCTTACTTTACAAGCAGAAAAACTGCATAACTTTCCAGTAGAAATGTTTTTTTTTTTTTTATGTCATGCATTTTTTTTCCACACACCTCTCCTTTGTCTGGACTGGGAGAAGAATGCCCACCCACACTTGACTTATGCAGCAAGACGATGATACAAAGCACATATCAAGTCCATCTCTGAATGAACTTAAGAAAAAGGTTGTGCTGTAGCCTAGTCAAAGTGCAGCTTAGATCTGGTTGAAGAAGGACGCTCATGTTCAAAATGCCTCAAATGGAGGCTGAATTGAAACAATCCTGCTAAGAAAAGTGACTTAAAATTATTAAGCAGAGATGTGAAAGACTCCTTGCCGGTTATTCGAAACATTTGCTTTTTTACTGTATTAGATAAAAATACAGTATCTGTATTTTTATACAGATACTGTATTTTTGTATTGTGAGCTAGCTAGCTCACACTAGCTGGTGTGAGCTAGTTTGCTAGCTCACACCAGCTAGCAAACTACTTTTTGTATTTCCTCAAGTTATCTTTGCCTGATGTAAAAATGTGTCCAATGTTTTGAGACAATGAAGTTAAGTTAACATAAGAAACCTGTAAATGGGAGGTTATTTCTTCACAGCTCTGTATTTATTTGCACTTACAGGGTCGTACAGTGATTTCTGAGAGTTCCCAGTTTTTGTATCTCATTACATGAGCCACATATATCTAATCTAAGAGACTTTGCAGTTTCTTAGATTATATTTGAAAGTATTAATTGCAAAAAACTCTACTGTTTTGCTAATCGTGCTCTGCCTAGTCACTCGGAATAAAAAGGGACTGATTTTGTACGTGTAGCTGGAAAATGGATGTATGATTCTGTGTCCTTTCTCCATCCCTTTTATCTACTTACATTCACACTGCTGCACGCTTACATAACCATAACAATCCCCAGAACCAGAACCAAACACTTCAAAGCAGCATTCAGTTTTTTATGCTCCTCTATTTTTGAACAAACTTCCAGAAAACTGCATAACTGCTGAACTAAATCAAGGCTAAACTTGGTTTTGTTTTGAGCTGCCTTTAATTTATATTGGAAAATAGATTTATTCTGACCTGTATTTGAACTTTTCATAACTTCTCTTTTCTGTCATTATGTTTCGTTTTTGTTTTTTTTTTGCTAATTATATTTTTATTATTAAGTAAAGCACTTTGAAGTGCCTTACGATGTGCTATACAAATGACTTGACTTCCTAGCAAGTTTGCTTAATGCTATAGCACTAGAGCTATAAACACTAAAAACAGCTAAATGGATTCATTGATTCAATTCATTTATTTTGGTGCAGACTGTTAACGAAGCTTGTTTGCTAGAGCAACTGCATGGAAAACATGGACATCTAGTTGTTTTACAGTGCCATCATTTATATTTTTACTTAACATTACATTACTAAAATAATATTAATTATAGTAATATTAGAAAGTATTGCTACTTTTGCTTGAGTGAAATTTCTGGATGCATCACTGAATGAAGAACAAACATGTTTTAACTAAAAATGCATCAGACACAGAAACATACCTAAATATATTGAAGTGAGACTTCTTGTTTGTAAACAAGCTTTGTCTGCTGTGCTTTAGTTTTTAAAATACTAGAATTTACACATAATCGTATTTTTGTCTGTTTGATTGCATCATATTGAAATATTAAATCAGATATTCTCCTAGACTTCTTATGAAATGCGTTTTTACTCTTACTTTTGTAATTTTTTGGATGGTAACTTACTTTATTAAAATATAAAATAAAAATATGTTGAAGTAGTTATACCTTCTTCGGCTAATGTATTAATTGACCTCTCCATAAAGCCTTTTTAAACAGAGCGTGATGATGTTCCCAGATTTAGGTTTTTCCGAGGTAAGTTGAACGGGGCACAAAAAGTCTCTTTGTGGTGCAGAGGTGGGGAGCCATCTTAAACGTTTTGTAATCTCAGCAAATAAATAAATATAATAAAACAGACGTGATTGGGCAATTTTAAATTAGCATCAGAACACGGAAAGGTACTGTTTGACCCGTGGACAATTTCGGCGTTATTTAATATGTTTATTATTTTAACAACTGTACGTTGGGTTTTGTTTTTGCAGCCAATAGCTGATCAGAACGTGGTGACGTTACGCTGTTTGCCTTCTTTCTCCCTACCTTCTGTAAGGTAGGGAGTGTCGGACAATAGCCTTCACCTTCAGAAACCAGCCAGTTTACGTAAACGACTGCATACAGCTTTCTTACATTACTAGTTACTTGCTTGTTGAGCTCAGGCACGCTGACGGTAAGACACAAATTGCTCTGAATTTCGAGGCCACTTTTAAATGGTTTTAGTCATGTCTCTCTCGACCACTTTCGAGTTAAATGAGGTTAGAATATAAATTGTCTTAACAGAATGTTTTATTAGTCACGTGCTTTATTTGTTTTATATGTTCTGTAAAACTCTACTACGCAGGAAAAAACGTTACTTTAATGTCATTTATGTCAACATAGTGGATCTAAATTTGATTACACGGTGATTTGTATGTTCTGTAAAAGTAAAATAAGAATAAGACAAAAACAAAAACACGCACAATAAGATTATGTTATTAGGCCGTTTTTCAAGAAGAATATGATATTCTCTATAGATAGATATGATCTCCCTTCGATCAGGAAATGGACACCTACTTTTACCTTACTGCATAGACTTTTACCTGCAAAAGCTAGTTGTCACAGAAAAAGTTCCCCTACCCAGACTATCTGATGAACAGTGACTAAATTGATACATTCATATTTGTGCTAATTCAGCCAGAAATTTATTTTTTGTAAAAAACAAAAACAAAAAAACAACAACATGGACATACTTAGAAAAACATTTATTTTACTTCCCTTTTTTCTTACTTGTATTTAAAGGGATGCTTTATGTCACAATTAAATGTGACATAGATAGTACCCCAAATAATTAAATGTTTCAGATCATTGATAATCATAACATCTGATAAACATAAACAGAGTAAATGCAAAAAGCAGAGTTCATCCAGTTAGATGCTGCATAAAGCATAATCTGGACAGGTCGCTGTTCTGTCACATGGCAACATAGAGACACCCAGAACAAACACCTGTGCACATACACACTCCTCACAACCACATGTTTTGGAACTGTGAGAGGACAACTACCCAGAGAGACCCTACACATGCACAGAGAGAACATGCAGACTCCATCCTGAATGACCAGAATTGAAACTCTCAACCTTTCTTCTACATTGCAGCAGTACTGACCTCTGATGCATTTCAGAAAAAGAACATCACAATAACATGCAAACTGGCAGGTGATTGTGTAAACATCTGGGGATACTTTGCTATTTTAGAAACCATGAATTCTGTTCTTAGTAAAAAAAAAAATAAAAAGTTCAGATGGAGAATGTTCAAAAATCGGTTCATGGTCTTTAGCCCATGTATGCACCCTTGGATTTGCAGCAGGATAATGATTCAAAACGCATCACAACAAGTGATTTTCATGACTGAAAAACTAGACAAAATTAGGGTTTCAGAGAAGCCTAGTTGAAGTTTGGACATGATGTTGTGGTATAACTTCTGGCCATTCATGCTCAAAAATCCTGCTGTGTGGCTGAATTGAACTGAATTCTTGTGCAATTACTTTGTTTTTCTTTTTACATGGGACAAGATTAGTTTGGATTGTTATTTTCCCTTAATAAGTGAAATCACCCTTTAACAACTACTTTTGTATTTAGTCGCATTAGTTGAGTGATAATAAAATGTTCTTGTTAATGTGAAAGTTGTGACAAAAAAAGAAAAAAAAAATCTGAAGATATTTGTCTGGGAGCAAATACTTTTCACCGTATTATATAATTCCTGTGACCTATCTTCATCGGAATCGGTCATAAACTCATCTGGTCTTGTTTCAGACCATGTCTCTGCCAATGATTGGGTTCACGGCCCTGCCCCACGTCGGAGGGATTCTTGGTGGCTTCATCAGACGCAGGGAGGTCTACACCTGGTACGCAAGCCTGAAGAAACCCTCATGGTGCCCACCGAACGGAGCGTTCCCTGTGGTGTGGACGAGTCTTTACACAGGGATGGGGTAAATTATACACAACATTAAGTTCAGTCTTAAAGAGAACCTGTCCTTTTCGTACTTAATTCAGGAATTGTTTTCATGTTTTCAAAATGAAAAGCGCAGGACCAGGAGCTGATATATCGTCACCTCACAGTGTACGTGTATGGCTTTATTGCTCTGTTATCATTCCTGCAGTGCAAGTTATTTTTACACATGCTAAGGAGGAACAAAAATAAAAAGTGATGCAGAGTGCATGTAGGTGGATTTTCAAACATACTTGAATATACTGATGATTAATCTGAATGCATGGATGGTTTAGTATTTCAAAACTGAATATACTTTGTAAATGTATTTTTCACTGTAACATCTGAGATTTTACTGTTTTCTTTCCTTTCTGCTTTTGAAACAATATATTTTGAACCTAAAAATACAGAAGTATTGAAAATAAAAATAAAAACATTGCATCAAACTAATTGTTGAAATAGCTGATGAAACTGTAATCTCTAGTAATATTTTATCTTTACTGTTTAGCAATTAATAGCGATACCAAGCAAAATATTTTGGATTTAACAATTATAATGCTATTAATATGATATTGCCATGGAAAATATTTAGACTTTTGAGTCTATTTGCAGACGCAGCTGCTACCACTTTGGCTCCAAGGAACATTTTCCTTCTTTAGGCTTTTGTGCTGTACTCACTTATGAAGAAAGAAAAATCTTCTCTTTTGTAATGGATTAAGTGTTAAGAATTTGTCCATTATTATTATTATTATTATTATTATTATTTTATTTGTATTTTTCCATGCAGGTATGGATCCTACCTAATTTGGAAAGAGCTTGGGGGTTTCACTGAGGATGCAGTGGTTCCGATGGGACTTTATGGGCTGCAGCTCGCTCTGAATTGGGCATCAGTTCCTCTTTTCTTCGGTGCACACAGCCAAAAATGGGTAGGCTTTAAAACATAGAGGTCTCTTTTAGTGTTACTTTAAAATTCTAGAAGTGAATTTTACTATTGCAAATTGTCTGATTAAATGTGTTTTATGTTCACATTTTAGGGTCTAATTGAGATCGTGCTTCTGGATGGGGCGATTGGAGCCACCATGTTGTCTTGGTATCCCATTAACAGCACCGCCTCTCTGCTCTTAGCGCCATATCTGGCTTGGATGTGTTACACCACCGCCATCCGTTACTGTATATGGAGAGACAACCCTAATAAAAAAGAGTAGAGTACAGTTTACAGTATTTTTCTAGGTCATTTCTGTACAACCAATCAGCATGTGTAACCTAAAAAATAATTAGTTTTTTCTACCAAATTACATGATAGTCTGATTCTAAAAGCAATGATTGATGGGTTTTTTTTTCTGTGTGGTAAGGGCAGCTATGAGGTAGTCAGCTTCTAAAAACTATTATTATGGTATTACTGAGAAAATTAACTATGTACCTCCAGCTGTTAATCAATTTTATTTACTTATTTAATCCTGTACTGTCACTGGGCACAGGACAGGGTACACCAAGGACAGGTCACACTCACCTTCGCACACACAGGAGCAGCTTAGAAACTTTGTAAATTTCTTAGAAGCTATCTAATTAAATCAGATCGTTTTTATTTTGAGTAATGTGTAGGCTAATTTGAACTTAAACTACGAATGTCCAAAATTATTGAGCAACAGAAACCTTGTATCTAACAGGCTCCATTGTAACTGGTTTGGAATGCTCTTCTTTCTATGTAATTTACATGTTTGTTTCTGCAAAGTTTTTTCTGGTAATACTCTTGACCAGCAACTTGAGCTTTTTGTTTTTTAGCCCCAGAAAAATTTAATAAACTGAAGTGCCTGGACGAGAGACGTTTGCTAAAAGGCTTTTGTCTCATCTCTGTACTCTTTTCAGTCATGAATTATTGAATAAAACCGTGCCACATAAAGTTTGCAAGTGGACCAATTTTATTTGTTGAAAAAAATTACATCCCCTGATGTTTGTGTATAGCCTGTTATCCAGGAGAAAACTTCTTAAATAGAAAATAAATGCACTTCCCTTGTCTTTTGAAGAGCTTTCACCCCTCCCCTACATGATGAAAAAATTTCAAAAAACAAGAAATGTTCAGTTGCTTTTTCACTCATACTTTAGATTACCTAAAAATAATTTGTTTGTAGAAGCCACAGGAGTGACAAATTGTTGATATGCTGGCTGTTTATGAAAATGCAGGCATATTACCAAAATTAATCAGATATATAACTATGAGCTACATGTTGCATAAAGTCATTTAGTCATCGTGAGCCATGAATTTCTCAAGTCTATGATCCACATCCACATTGCGAATGGCAGAAACCAAGATTCATTGAAGATAAATCTTTTGGATTAATGTGAACAAAAAAAAATTTTGAAAAAGCACTTTGACTTCAGGCCAAGTGATTTATTTGATAAACTAAAATTAAAGTAGTGCAAAATTGTTCGCTGAATGAAAAATGATTCGGAGTTTAAGTTTTTTTATAAGTTAAAATCTGAAAAGTGATGTAATTCACTAGCCACAACCAACCATGGTTACAGAAAAACCTGTGGAGTCAGAAAAATCACTTAGAACCTGTCTGACATGTCTAAAACACAAAGGTCCACTTGAAAACAATTAAAGAGAGAAACAAAGTAATCCATAATCAATCTGGAAAGGTTTACGAAACCTTTGGGAGTCCTGCCCTATTTATTTTTAATTATGTCAGTTTTGGTCCTCCATAGATTAGCTTCAGCCTCCTGAAGTAAATAATTTTCTGTATTTTGACTTTCAAGTAGTCATTGCTGTTCTCTGACAAATACCATGTCTGTCTATATTTTTAGAGAATACATGACTGCTTAAAAGTTTCAAAACAGTAAACCATGTCAAATATGTTGAAATGTTAATGATTTAAACATCAGGGACACGCTGGGGTTGTATCACAGCTGCAGCTAAGAGTCAACGCCATTCATGTAAAAAGGGAGGGAACTATCTTGAGCCTTTAGCAATCTTTGTGGTCTTCTCGTTTCCGCCGACTGAAAAGCCAACGGGAAACTTGTAGTAGTAACAGGCTGAGCAGGAAAAGTGTTAGCTTCTGTCATTTTTGACCCTCGCTCTCTCAGTGTTATATGTTATTTAGACTTCCTGACTGTAGGTAGATTTGTATCCTCACGACCAGCCGTTGGCCACAGCGCCGTCACGTCGTTTGGGAGGCTGATCGTGGGAGGGACTGAGGAGTGACCGCGGCGATAAGGCTGCCCTGCCCTTTAAAAGCAGCTATATCACTGGACTATCAGCATGCTAGGGACTGCATGTCTGTAGTCTGCTGCTGTTTTTAGCTTTTATATATACAGCATATCAACTATCCGGACTGAGAGATGGTAAGTGTTTCAAACAAACTCATGATCAGAGCAGAAACACGATGAGTGAAATTACTTTTTTCTGGAACTTTGACCTTTGTGTGTCTTAAATAATATTACAACAAAGGAAATGCGTGTTAGCTCTTTTTTTGTTTACATGCCGTTCAACCTGCCAAAACAGCCATTATTCCTACAGTTCCACGAAATGTCCATATTTTTTTATATTAATTAAGCAGATTATTTTTGAGTATTCTGGAGAACTGTCAGTTTGGACACGCCTTACACCGCGCAAGTTACGAAACAAGGCATACAAGTTTACAGTTCAAATACAGTACTAGATTCAAAAGCTGATCCTGTAATTTTAACTTACTGAATCTGGTTATATTAGCTAAATATTTGAATGGTTATCCATGTACCCACATGGAGTTATCAGCAGGACCGGTAGGCCCTTGACCTTCCTGGAGATTGAATAAGAAATACATAATGACACGTAACCAACTTTATTGGGAGGTTGTTAAATTAATGGTTACTGTGGACAAATAGACTGGACTATATGTTTTTTGGTAAAAACTTGACCGGCTTATACACTGATAAAACAGTAAACTAAAGGTTAAAAATTAAAATTTATTTATTTGAAGAAACAAAATCCAAAGTAATTACACTATAGAGCTAAGTCAGCTCAAAATGTGTTTCTATAGCACACTTTAAAGATCAGTTGAACAAGGTGCTCAGTGCAGCAAAAGTTATGAAACTTAGTAACTTGGTTAGAAAAATATACATTGTACTGCAACATAAAACGTATGAAAAGGAAACCTACAATATCCAAGTGCTTCGAGACAATGTGTACATGTATAAAATGTAGCTTTACGTTTCCACATAAATAGGCTGTAGTTTATGTATTAATTAAGCATATATAGTATGTGCTCTCTTAAGTTTGCTACTATTTTCACCTGTTCAGAATGACCTAAAGTTGAACATTGTTGTTGTTTGTGAAGAACAAGCAAATCATATTCAACAACGCAGCATGTCTTTTGCACTTTCTGCAACAATTATTTTATCCTGAAAGGTTTCTATTCGATTTCCAGACAGACAAAAGTGTGCCGGTGTTTCAAATCCACTTTTATTGTGGTTTTCATTTCTGAATGACATTGTCAGCCTAGAATGGTCTCAAAACCTTGGAAGACATGGACATAGAAAAACATGGAGAAAAAAAAAACATCCAACCTTGTAGATGATTTTGTAGGTTAACTTTGGAAATGAAAATATGTTGTCAAATTTTTTTTCTTGTTTTTGCAAGGTAGGTAGATGTAATATAATGTAAAATTATGTTGTATTTTGTGCAAGTGTGGTACAAACGTCCACACGTTCTAGACATTGTGTTGATCACTCTGTGGTGGGAACTTATGCACATGTTTTGAAACATTTCATACACAAAGATTGAACAACATGGTTCATTCTCTTAGTTTGCGTAAAAATACAGAAAAAAGTCAACATTTTTACATTTGTTTTTGTTTGAAATGGAGATATTGTAATATTACAGTCACACTTAAAAACACAGTTTAGTTATCAGCTACTTATACATTTTAGTCTTTCATTCATGACTTGTCCAATGATCTTGTCAATTAGAGGTCAGCTGTGCTTTTACCCTGAAAAATGCTTTTTTTTTTTTTTTTTGCCTGCCTCTTCAGAGTTTATGAAAGTTATTGTATAACATGGTAGTTAATATCTGCAGCTTTAGCAGGGCAAACTGTTACAACTTGCTCTTATCTCAGACCATGTGGCTGCCTATGATTGGAATGACGGCGTTGCCACACGTCGGTGGTTTCTATGGTGGCTTCATTACACGCAAAGAGGTAAAAAACTGGTACCCAACCCTGAACAAACCCTCATGGCGCCCACCAAACGCAGCATTCCCTGTGGTGTGGACTTGCCTGTACACTGGAATGGGGTAAGTGGGACACTAGATGACTCATACAGCCATTCTGCTCTAGAGTGAGTTTATTTTTTTGAATGTTTTCTTTTATGCAGGTATGGCTCCTACCTGATCTGGAAAGAGCTTGGAGGTTTCACTGAAGATGCTGTGGTTCCACTGGGGCTTTATGGGCTGCAGCTCGCTCTGAACTGGGCCTGGACTCCCATTTTCTTTGGCGCACACAAGCTGAAATGGGTATGTTTTTGTTTGGTTTTTTTCACTCAAACAGGTTACCTAATGCATGTAGAGGATGATCAATGTTTGAAATCCAGTCCAGTCAATGAGATGCCCTCCCCCTGTGTAATTCAGGCCCTGGTGGAGATCGTGTTTCTCACGGGGACGGTTGGAGCCACCATGGTGTCTTGGTATTCCATCAGCCACACCGCCACCCTGCTCCTCGCTCCCTATCTGTCCTGGCTGTGCCTCGCCACAGCCCTCAACTACTGCATATGGAGAGATAACCCAGAGAAAAAGGAAGAGTAGAGCACATTGCAGTGTGTTTATTTCCATTGCTAAATCTTGACTCGTCACGATAAAATTCCTTTGCAGAAATGACAGATCAGTTTCACAGCTGCTTTTTTTTTGAGTTTATGATTCAGCTTTTGTCTATCAGTTTGACGAGGACCTGTCTACATGTTATTAGTAAATCACACCCAATTGTTCTGCAGACCACCGTTCTCTTCAACTAACTCTTAAAAATGTGCACTATTCCTGTCAAACTAATGAACAAATTAAAGTATAGTACAATCTGATCAAAGCTTTCGAGTATCCAGCTTAACTCAGGATCCCCATTGGAACCGAGTTGTGGTATTTTTCTGTGCTTCCTTTGCTAAACATTTTTTTCCGGTCATGCTTTTCCAATTAACATTTATGCGTGTAAAAGTTTGGTGTTCTAATTTGTATGTTTTTCCATTTGTAAATAAAATGAGTTTTTTTTTTTTTTTTAAGCAAACCAGAGCAACTTTTTTTTAAAGACGGACGTAAGAAGACTTTGTGTTCATAAAATCTCTTTCTGTTTAAAATGAGCTGCTGTAGATCCTGTTTCTAACGTGGCGTCAGCCTGGTGTTCACTGCTGTGAGAATAAGAGGAGTTGCAGCTTCAACATGTAGCTGATTAGGCTTTGCATAATTCACAAATACATATTTCAACTAATTTAAATGAGTTAAACGTAATTCTCTTTAAACATGCTGACATCCATTTTAATTTTACTTGCATAAAATGTACTCACTGTCGTAAAATGGCATTTTCTCATTTGTAAATAAGACTTTGTAAGCAAACTTTTGAAGAGTCCTTCCTTAAAAACAAGAAGATTGTCCCAGTAGATCACAGCCCAAACATAAATAATCACAAACACTATTTCTGCAAAAGGAGTTGAACTTTCTTTGGTTGTAAATATAAACATTAACAGATCTATAAAGCAAAGAGTGCATATACCTTTGACATATAAGCACATTTCAGTCCATCACATAATGCTAAATCTGGACATGGATAGTGAGATTCTCACAGCATGATAACCTTGAGTAAAATAAACGCCACGGTCTTAAAACGTTGTACAGAAAAATTATGACATGACGGGGTTGCTTTTGCCAACTGTAGCTTTAAGGCAGTGG